AAGATTGAATGATCTATATTCATAACTTTTATTACAATGTTTAACCAATGTCTTCATTTGGCTAAAATTGTGCGATTGACAATACTTATCACCAAAAAAAACAGCAAATGTTTGACAAAAGTTATAAGACATTCTTCACCATAAAAAAATACGGTCAAAAATAACAGGATATGGTAAAATTTAATGTGTTTCAAGCTACTTAAAAATATCAAAATTTTTTTACCGAAGCAATTTGGTAATGGTTTTGGTGAAATTAACAATAAAATATGGTTTTATAAAAAAATAAAATTTGGCAAAATTCCGTAACTTTATCGTCATACCTTAGAGCACAAGCTCCAGAGCTTTTTTAGTTGAGTTAATTAACAAGCATATTAATTAGCAAAACTATCAAACATTTTGACGCCCACTGGCTGAGTGGTAGAGAGCTTCGCGCTCCTATGCCACAGTTCCTGGGTTCGACCCTCCGGCCGGCAAGATTGACTCAGCCTTTCATCCCTTCAGTGGGTCGATAAATGAGTAGCAAGCATGCTTGAGAACGAAACACTGGGGGTTCACGTTCGGGTCAGGTGGTCAGCCGACCAGAACATCTGCTCCTGCACCTCAGAGCCCAAGGTCAAGAAAACTGAGATGAGCACAGTAGGCCTTGGCCCTCTATGGACTGTCAAGCCACTGAGATTAATTTAGCTTATTAAACATTTTAATATTATTAATATGTTTAAGGTCTTAAAATTGGGTTTTACGCCTAACAGTTGATTATAACATCAAAATCTCAGGTATCTCCTTACCCGGGAATTTGAAGTTAGTGTATGCATAAACTGACCATGGGAGATCTGAAACATGTTTTCGGTGAAAATAAAAATGAAAATGAGAAAGACCAGCAGAGAAAAAATGATTCATTGTTAAATTTGGTTATTTTAATCTAATGCGACATATTAATGCAATTTGTTCATAAATGCTATTTTTATTAGAAAAAAATTCCAAAAGCCTTTTGTAAGTTCATAAAAATGACGGAAATATAAAATATTTAACAGATTACAAACCGTCTGAAAATTTAATTGCAGGTTTCAGAAATCTAATCATCTTATCGTGAATTTTTTTTAAAAAATACAACAAAATACAATTTTCTCACGCGATTTTTCGCAAAATTACAAAAACAGAACCTTTTGCAAAAACCCTAGATAAATTCCTGATTCAATTTTTTTTTGACATTAAATATGAAATTTTGTATTTAATAATATCAATAAAATAATTTATCTTCAGCAAGCAATAAAATGTTTTAGATACCTCGTGTTACACGCCACTTTCCCTTAATTTATCTTTACACAAGATCTTCAAAGTACGAAATATGTTCAATAATAATTAAAAACCCAATTGCTTCATAAATTTGTTTTTCTATGCAAGAAAAGCTTCAACACCGTGCATTAATTTTTTAAGTTTTTAAAATGATATGTCCTTATTACAATATTTACAAGACTATATACCCTTTTTTTAACGGTAAAATAAAATGAGGTAAAATTGAATAAACAAGTACGTGATGCTCATAAAGTCCTTCGAGATTTACAATATTTTTAACGCTTACTGGTCAGCAATTTTCGAAATATAATGTCAAAAAAACTTCGTAATTTAAGCTATTTTTAAAAGAATACATTATATTCAGAATAATAGCTTATTTCGATATTGTTTTGAACTTTAATTATGCTATTAAAAATAAGCTATCAGTTTCTAATTTTTCCTTTAGCTTTCGTCATAAAAGTATATTTATACGCTAAATTAACTTGGATGCCACTTATGTAACAAAATGAAAATTCATTGACAATAAAAAATAGATTCAAATATATTTACAAGATCTGTCATTAAATAGTAATTAAAAATCATAAACAAAGAATATGACACAAACTGTAAAATAGAAGCAAAAGAAAATGATTGATAGTAGTCTAGAAGTAGTTTCTGACACTGGAAAGTAATTTGAAATCCTGATTTAATATTGGATGATTTAATTCCCAAATAAGAATTGCAAAAACGAAAGTGGTACAAACATCAGAGATTTAAAAGTTTTGTTAACTTTTTTAATCAATTTTTTGGTTGGAAATAGTAATTATGTTTTCTTTCAATTTAAAATACTTTCACAGGAGCCTATGAATATTTGTTATGTTTAGTTTTGCTTTTAGTAAAAAGAAAATTTCAAATCGAGAATGATAATGATCAAACATTATATTGTTGTACTACAGCTTTATTCTTAAAGTTTTTAAGGAAAAATGGATGTCGCATTTTTTTTTTGGGGGGGGGGGGNTTTGGGGGGGGGGAGAAATTGAGACATGATCGCGCATATTTTTATTCTTACAACCAGTATTTTAATTTGATAAATTAAAAAAGAACATGAATAATTAAAATTTTAGCATAAAAAATATTTTTTCAAGACCATCCTAAAGATTAATTTCAACCTCTTTAAAAGATCGCTTTCAGATCCTAATAAAGGGATCCTTTAAAGATTATAATGAAAAAATTGCTTCAAGATCATCATAAACAAAGATCATTTAAAAACTATCATAAAAAATACTGTTTCTAGATCATCCTAAAGATTTCTTATAAAAACATCATGTAAGAATATCTTTTTAATTTTATCATAAAGTAATATTTTAAGATCATCCTTAAAGAGATCATTTCAATATCATCAATAAAAGTATAGTTTCAAGTAGACCTAGAAATAACCACTAGCCACCCACCATGTCAACCAAAAAAAATTGGGACTTAAATAAAATAAACAAACGGCTACTTTTTTCCATTTATTTATTTTTTTTGAAAATTGGTTAATAATAAAAGTGCATCAATACAGAAAGAAACATTGAATAACAAAATTTTCATTAAGATGTCCAATGTCTCAATTCAAAATTTTGATCTTCCAGAATCCACGTATTTCACATATTTCAAAATTGCAATGTATACATGAAATTTTTTTTGCCTCCCCATATATTCTTAAATAAAGTTCTTTAAAGTCAGTATATTTGACAAAATTTTTTTCTCATAATTATATTATTTTTATTGATGAATTAACATTTTATAGTTGTAGATTATTTGTAATATAATTTTTTTTAATGTATAATTTATTCCAAGCGAAGAGAATAAAATTGGAAAATGATATTTCGTAACCAATTTTTTGAGCCTCGAAACTATGTCCCGAGTAAAAATAAAAGAAGAAACAAAACGAGAGAGTCTTAATTTGGAACAATATTTCTAAACAGAGTAAATAAACCAGTAATTTGATTCATATTTTTAATTAATTGATTTTAATTTTATTCGTATGAGTAGCGCACGAAAGCTTATAGTAAAAACAACCTTTGAATGGATACAATTTCACGAACTGTTGAAAAAAGAAATCTTCCAATTGAAATTAATTAAAAATCCTCTCATTTTGTACATCACATATAAAGTAGAATGGCTGTACAAAATGTGTTTTACTTTAATTAAAAGATTTTAAGTACTTAACCCAATTTTTAGAACTTACTTTTCTTTTCATAATATTTTGTTTGATTTGAATAACTTCAAGTGTGCAAAAAAAATGAAATTTTTTTTTTTAAAAAAAGCGAATAAAATGGCTATTATTTGATGGTAATTGTTGGTAAATAAAGAAAACTAAATTCATTTACGTTGTTTTTACATTCTACAAAATATAAAATACTTAAAATCTAAGCATTATTTTTTTTTTTTAGATTCCGAGCGTAAATATCGTTTTTTGAGAATGCATTTGATAAGTATAGAGAAATGCATGTGGAGTTGAGTTACATTTGACTAAAGAGTTAAAAGAAAAATTTTAATTGTTCTAAAAATATTGTATCAGAGTTGTAACAAAATTAAATATTACGTATGAAGATAATTAGTTTTGGAAATCAGTTTTTGAGTACATAAAAAAGTACATGAAGTTGGTCTGCTAAAGATCTCATGCAGATGAATTTTTTTTTAACTTAAGACTTCACAAAATCATGTTTTTATACTCATGGTTAAAAATAGTGTTACTGACCATAAGTAGATTAAATTGAATTCGCAAAAATTTTTTATTTTCACAACACATGTTTTCTGAGCAGCTTACACCTAATATGTCACTAAGAATTTCAGATAAAATTTAATTTTCAAGGGGAACTTAAAAAAAATTAACTTAGCATGCTCACTAAGCTATTTACGAAAAAAGTACACGTAACTTGTTATTAACTTCTTAATTTGTTTAAAAAAATTCCCTTAAAGCTGATCACTAAATTCTTTATTTACGAAAAAGGTTTACTTAAAATGTTCACTAAGCTATTTACGAAAAAAGTACACGTATCTTGTTATTAACTTCTTAGTTTTTTTCAAAAAAATTCACTTAAAGCTGCTCACTAAATTCTTTTTCTACAAAAAAGGTTAACTTAAAATGTTCACTATGCTATTTACAAAAAAAGTACACGTAACTCGTTATTAACTTCTTAATTTTTTTTAAAAAATTCACTGAATTCATCATTTACGAAAAAGGTTAACTTAAAATGTTCACTATGCTATTTACGAAAAAAGTACACGTAACATGCTATTAACTTCTTAATTTTTTTTTAATTCACTTACAGAGACTCACTAAATTCTTCATTTACGAAAAAGGTTAACTTAAAATGTTCACTAAGCTATTTACGAAAAAAGTACACGTAACTTGCTATTCACTTCTTAATTTTTTTTATAAAAAATGCACTTAAAGCTGCTCACTAAATTCGTCATTTACGAAAAAGGTTAATTTAAAATGTCCACTAAGCTCTTTATTGTTGAAAAAAGTAGATATAACAACAATATTAAATTCTTTATTTACACTAAAAAAGTGAAGGAATAAATAAATAAATATATTTGCTTCATTATTTAGAATGTTTCTCGCTTTATTTACGTAGCATGATTTATTTTTATTTTTTTATATCGTTATAAATTTGTTTTAAAATGTTCGATGCAGATAATAAATTTACTGTGTGAAATAATATAACGATATCGCTTACCTTCAATATTTCCTAAAACCTGAGCCCAAAATAGAGTGATCCATAACGCGATGATCAAAACAATCTTTGTAAGTTCTATATTCCTACAACGAGTTTCCATCTTTGACTCACAGAAATCCCAAACAAACAAACGCAAAAAAAAAAAAACTAAAAATTTTTTCTTCTTTTTTTTAAAAAAAATAATAAAAATCACAACTTAATCATTCTATCTCCATCGTCAAGTAATCCTTTTCACAGTGAGAAATCCGACACCCAATTACAAGAATACAGAGTGTAAAGTTAATAATAAAGTTGTGTCCAGCCGACTGTGTGGGCCGGACGTGAGAAAATATCGTTCTTTATTCGAATCGCTGACGAAATCCTCACTCTCGCAACTCACTCCCAAATGAGGAGCGCGACGGAGTGTGGCCGGATTCAGACTGCCGGATTATTCGGAGAATGAAAACGATGGGGGAAAGAGAGACTTTTCCTTTGGTTGAACGGGAACGAGTTTTCTGTCCGATAGATGTCGCTGTCCTCCAGGTAGAAGATCTCGGTTAGGAAGTACCATGTAGAGGTTTCTACCAGAAGTTTGAATGATCGAATCCTTTGCTGGGATTAAGTAGTGATCCTCGCCAGTTCGAACTTGTGGCTCCTTTTTAGAAGTATTCCAGTGTAGGTGATGGAATGATTAGATGAATGTGATGATACGTAATAGCTTTTCGATGCTATGTGTCGGCGGAATGGGGGGTGGGGGTGGGCGAGTTAGAAAAAGAAAGCGAATATGAAGGAGAATTTGGAAAGCATAATAGGAAGTGTTAATAGTCTTTTCGCTCTAATGGTTAAAGTTTGATCTTTCTCAAAAGTCAATCATAAAGGAATTGAAATATGAAACTTTAAATAGCGATTCGATATTTTTTTTTATTTTAACTGTAAATCATATTTAATTTTTTATCAGTTATTTGGTCATCGCAATCTTTGCGCAATATATAAGAGCTTAACTAAATACAGTTCACTCTCGATATCTCGAACTTTTATAACTCGAAACACTTGTTATGTCGAAAAACTAATTTACATTACATAACCACCTAATGTTAATTGGAATTCCTTGCCTCCCAATGAGGTGACCCGAGTTTAAATCCCAGCGATGGCTAGTCGATACGAACTCCACACTCGACTCGCACAGATTAAAGTACTGACATAATATATCCTCAGAATTGGATGGATCATGGGTTGCAGTCCTCTTGCCGTCAGGCTAACCGTAGGAAGTTTACGTGGTTTCCCTGTCTATGTAACCTCATTACGCTGCATCTTGCATCTGATAGGATCCGTTACAAAAGCTTATTGAGATGATCTTGATCTGTAGTAAGCTGTAGTGAACTTGAAAAATAATAGAAGGTTAAAACATATTGTCACGCAAATAGAATCTAACTAAACTTGAATACACGATATAACACCATTCTCAAATTACAACAAATTTTCTCAACAATGTGGTTCACGTTGCTAATAATATATTTCAAAATTGAAACCATATTTTCGAGTGCAAAGGAAACTAATAATTTTAAAAGCTGCCTTTTTTCAATAACACAAATATTGAAACTGAAAATTTCGGATTATTTGGATCTTTTTGTCAGCAATATTATAGGTTCAAATCCAGTTTTTATTAGCGATCTAAACTATTCAGCGAATGAGTGGATTATTTATTTCCAAAATCTTTGATTCCTGTTTGCAATTTTGAATTTGAAAAAAAAAATTTCTGATTATTCCGGAACACTTTTTAAAATATTTCTTTACAGTAAGCTTAATTATTTGTGTAAATTCGATAATATGGTTTAATCAAACAATCTTCTTACGCTTAACTACGTGATTCTGTGGTTCAATTTGGACGGAAGAGACAGCTATACTATTTCACTTTATTGAAGAAAAGACAGTTAACGTTTAGACAGGAGTTCCCCAATGTATGATCCTGAGAAATTATTTCATAATTTGCTTGAACTTTGATATTTTTTGGAAAATTCATGTTTTACTCTTTCTATGCTTTTGTAAAAGTTTTATATTATTTATGTAAATGAAAGAGAATTCGTCGGGAAGAGTTTTTACCTCAGTATTAGCGTCCTCTTACCACCTTAATAAAATTGCAAAAAAAATTTAATATCCTGACAAAGAAAAAGAAGAAAAAAATTACAACTCATGCTATTTCTTTGCACCTAAGGATCAAGTGTTACTAATTGGTATAATTTAATCCTTGGTACTGCCTTTTTACGTTTAGTACTAATGTTAAACAAAAATTCAAAACTTGAAATAAAAATTTTTTAGAGAAAATATTACATTAAAAATCATTTACTGATGAAGCGATATTTATTTGGTTTACAAATGAAATCATTTACCTTTTTTTTAAAAAATAAATAATAATGCCTATTTTACAATCACAGTAAATAAGTTAATGAAAGGCCAGGATAGCCTGGTCGGTAGGGCGCCGGACCCATGTCCAAGAGTTCGTGGGTTCGATTCCAGCCGGCCGAAGATGGTGACTGATGCACGTTAAATCTGTCGAGGTGCATCAGTCACCAAATCAATACCTCTGGGGGTACTGATCCAGGAGTTTCCTTGTCTTCTGGATTGGTTTAAAATGACAAGGATACGGAGTTGATCATTAGTAGTCATAAACCCAAAAATTGGGTCAGCTGTTCAACGGCAGATATAAAATAAAATAAAATGAATAAACGAAGTGAGGGATAATTTAATAAATGATTTAGTAAATTACTAAACGAATTATGTTACTCATTTAGAGAGGGAATTAGTTGGTGACAATTTAATTAGAAAGCTATTTCGATTGCTATATATATAGTTAGCAAGTTATTTTAAATAAATGTGTCTTTAGATGCAGTATCATTACAATGTTAAACAGGTTTCCTTCAAAATACTCTCTCAATTTTTTTCCCTTTAAAATCCAAGAACCTTTAATTTAATAAACTATTAATACAAAAATAAAACTTAATTCAAAAAGAATCTGATAGAATAACATAAAAAAGGAACAAAAATCCTCCAATAGTACTAAATAATTATTTTCAATATTTATAGAAATATTTTAAAACTGAAAAACACATTCCAATAATTTTCGTATGTAAACGATTTGAAAAAAAATCAAATTAATGCTTAAAGGTCATAATTTTTGATAAACTAATAATGACAATTTACATTTATAATTTAATTTTCTGTGACTATATTTCCAAAATTTAAAATTATATCTGAGTTTTATTATTCCCACATTTTGAAATAATTGCGCATTTTATTTCCAAACAAAATTCCGTATTTCTGAATCAAATTATCATTTACTTTCTCACGAATCTAATTATATGAAATCCAAAAGTGAGTTAGAATATTTTCTGATGAGGTTTCATTCATTTTATGAAAAATAATATACATATAAATGCATATTTTAAAATTTAATTTGGATTTGAATTATTTTAATATTTTGAGTTTTACGTTTATGTTTTAAAATTTACTAACGAAAAAAAAAAAAAAGACGAAAAACACTCAGTTTGGTATTAAATGATTCCAAAATGAAATGCAAGAAAAAGGTTGCTGTTGTTGTTGTCTGCCATTAAGGTAGAAAGGGTGCGATTGTTCTGGTTTTATGTGGCGCCATCTATGGTCAAGAATAAAGCAGTCCGAATTTCTATATTGGAGTGATGGTTAGTTCATGACAGCCTCAATAAATATGATATATAGACTTAATAAAGTTCCAACAATAAATTTCCAAGACTCTATGTTGGAAATTCTTATTGTTACACCAGGAGCAAGCTGTTACTATTACGTGGGATCATCATGAAGTAGTCCCAATTCTCATATCATCATTATCCAACAACAACAAAGCACTTAGCCCCATTTAAGTGATGATTATATATGTTGATTCCAACAAACTGTGATGGAAAATAAAGAAACTATGGGGAGAATACTTGGCAACAATAAATTTCTAAGATGCTGTATAAGTATTGCAAGGACAAACCATCTTGTTGGTATTGCAAGGTATTGCAATACCTTGTTGGTATTGCAAGGACAAATCATCATTCCAACATGGTAATTATGGTTATTCAGGATTATTTCAACTACTGATTTCCAAGATACTATGAAGGTATTCCTTGAAGTTCCAACATGAATAAATTACCAAAGCAAGTTGTTATTTATCTGTTAGGCCACCATATAGTAGTCCGAATCCTTATATTGGGATGATAGTCACCTATGATGGTTACCATCAAAAAATATGACGGAACCCCTAGATGGTTGCCTTCATGATTATGTTCGACCATTATTGGAAAACCATCATGCTTGGCGTGATAGATTTCACGTCGAGCTACAAAAGCGGTTCAGCCCTCCACTCTGCAAAGAACCAAAAATGTGCTAAAATGTCTTCACATTTAGAGCTGTTTTCCACACCGCCGTCAATATCCCCTTTTAGGGTCGTGGTGGCTCGAGGGATAGAGTGCTCGCCTCGCAATAACGTGACCCGGATTCAAATCCCAGCAATGGCTGGTCGATATGAATTCTGCACCCGGATCGCACCGACTACAATTTTAAGTAAAATAACCTCAGTGGTAGATGGATCAGCTGTTAGAGTCCCCTTGCCTTCTGACTAACCATGGGAGATTTTCGTGGTTTTCTTATCCGTGTAATGCAAATACGTTTTAGTTTCATGAAAAAGTCCCCACGACAACAAAGTTTCTCCCAATACTTGATCCCTGTGTTCCCTTGTCTTCTGGATCGGGTTCAAAATTATAAGAATACGAAGATTAACATTTTTAGTGGTAGGCTCGATATTGGTTAGCTGTTAAGCGACGGTTATAAAATTAATAGCCCATTGTGCAGCTCTAGTGCGACGCATATGAAGAACTACTAATGCTTCTTCTCATCAATTTAAATGTATAACTAGAATTAAGGGTAAGTTACGAATAAAATAAAAATTTTACTTTGCCTCTCTTGGATTGAAAATTTATTTTCAGAAAATAAAATAAAAATTTGAACACAAATATTTAAAAAAAAAAGAACTGCTGTATTTGACAAGAATCCCTAGACACAAGAACTTATAGTAAAGGATGCATAAACTTAGAGTCTCAAAAAGACAAATAAATAAATAAATTAAAAACAATCTTTCTCCATAAATGCTTGATTATTACTCTTTAACGTAACAAATATTCTTTTTTACATTGTTTTTAAAAAAATCAATTAGCAGACGATTTTTATGTTGTAACTCTTTTACAAATATAATTAAAAATAAATCGAGAGGAACGAAACTATATTAATATTGAAAAACACAAAACTAATCAGCTTAAGGGAAAATTCTGCTATTTATCTCTAATCATGTTTAAAATAAGGTACTTATGAATTTTTCGAGAACTAATTTATTTTCTAATTCGCTTTAAATCATTTGAACAAATTTAATTGCGTTTTTTGTAAGACTACGACTGATTATGTTAACACAAAGAATTA